TGTGTGTGTGTGTGTGTGTGTGTGTGTGTGTGTGTGTGTGTGTGTGTGTGTGTGTGTGTGTGTGTGCGTGCATGTGCAGTGTGGTGATATGCTTTTTCCACTAAATAAATCTCTCAAAGCAGCACGACAAACTGCATCATCGGAACCAGTCATAATAAATTTGAATAAAGGTTTTTGGTGTCAACGCCAGCCATGCATCGCAAGCTAGATGTTTTCATAAGCCCTAATGTTATTTTGCAGTGTGTCATTCAAGCAGGATCGTCATTTAAACAGGTAGCATAAACAGACGAATATAAATTTGCACCGCAGGAAGACAGGCACGTTAAACAAGCGCCAGACTGACCACAGACTCACATCTGAGAGAATCTATGATTGCTTTACTAAATAAGACCATATTATAAACTAAACTAAATTACACTTAAAAGGCACTTCTTCATGTTGACTAGCCATAAACATTTTTTAATTAATTTCTTTTTCTAACCCTTCTGACAACTACCCATAAAACTATTAAATCAACCCCAGAAACTCACTCAAACACATGAATAAACAGGAAAAATGTGAGATGATTCTGCTGTGCACAAGCTAGTGCATGGGAGATTGGAGGTTTTCAATCTGACGTGAACAAATGCAAACACACACACACACACACACACACACAGCCTGCCGGCCTGGTCGAGCTATTATGTCAGTCACTTCCGACTTGAGTGCTGCCATCTGCCCCCTAATGAAACCATGCACACACACATACACACTTTCTTCTTACAACCATCTAATTCACAGAGAGAGAGAGAGAGAGAGAGAGAGAGAGAGAAGTGGCAAACAAACACTTAAACATGAACTTTCTCAATGAAAGCTGCAGAAACTCAAGACTTAGCTAAAATTACAAATGTTACTATTTTGGCATTTATTTTTTTAGCCGTCTTTTTAATCTTCTGGGGGTTGTGGGTAGTGCTACATTGCAACACATTGCCAGTTCTTGATGGTGAAAAGGTATATACAGTATATAAAATTAGATCATGCATATAGTCCCATGAAATAGAATTTCTCCTCTTTTTGTCTCAGCTTTCACACAGGTAAGCATACACACACACAAGTGCAGCAATATTTTAATTGCTCACGTATGACCAAAACATAATCACTTCTGTCTGATTTTACCTCTGGTTTCCATTGAAACTTTTTCATTGTTGGTTGTGTCGTTCTTTCTCATACAGAGCCAATCTTCAACACAGCAGATTTCCAGTTTGGAGAACAACATTTTTCTTGTTTACCTTTTATTATTATTTTGATTGAGATTACTTTGTATGGCATTCCAAATAATAGTTTTCATTGACGGGGAAATCACAAATAAACAATATATAAAAACGAGCCACTAACCAAACTGTCCAATTGCATGGCTTTTTTTTTCTCTAAATAAATGCAAATGATATAACACAATGTTTCGAGAGAAAATGCTTATGTATTCTTTTCTAATTGAATATAAATAATTCCTTTACAAATTATATTATAAGTATGACATTCATTCCAAAGAGCATCCTGTGCTTCAGTTGAAACAAGAACATCTGACCTTTTGTTCAGAGAAGTTTTCATGGCCAGTTTCACAAATTTGCTTATCACAAAATGTATTATATCTGATTAGTGCAGAATCTTACATACAAAAGTTTTTCTCTGAATTATTATTATTTTTAATTTATTTAAGTTTAAATGAAAAAATAATAATGAAAATAAAATAAAAAATATTTTTATTAAAAAAAAAAAAAATAGTGTGGTCTTAGACTTTACACTTTATATTTATATAATATTATCTATGAATTATTGCGACACTACAAATAAATCTAAACCTGTGAAGGGTGATACCAGTGATATTTTAACATCATTCTGATACTGTTATAGTTATTCAAATGTATTATTAGTAGTAGTAGTAGTTGTTGTTGTTTTTATTAATTTTATTTCAGTTTCAGTTATTTTAGTACATCAAGTTAAACTAAAAAAGAGGCAACTAGGAAAAATTAAATGTTTTTTATATATATTTTTATTTTAATTTCAGTTCATGTTTATTTTATTTATGGTTTTAGTTTTGGTTATAGGCGACTATAATAACCCAATATAAAATCTTAGAGTAAGAATGGTTCTTTTTATATTTTTCAGTCTGTCTAAAGAAGCTGCATAAAGTTAAATTGTAACATTGTAACATTTCACATGACAAATCTAAGGGGTCTTCTGACGTCATACCCGGGGTATTTTTGACATAACTACAGGACTACAGTACGTCTCCAAGTCCTCTGAAGTAAGTAACGCTCCTCACTCACTCTGTGCTGCTCTCATCTCATAGTCTGAAGGGTAACAGTACAGCAGTATATCAAACATAACTGTTTATAATCCACTCTTACATGTCTGACCCCTTAAACATTATGAAGCTTCAGCTGTCAGGCCTCTACAACTGATTCATGCAGAAATGTAGGAAGGCATATTTATATCATGACATATTTCTATCTTTAAAAGTTATTTGTTTTACTTCAAACACATGTTCTAACCAGACAAACAGCGATAAAATGACAGGCTATAAAATATAAATATTTTGTAACAATATAAGTCTTTATTATTATTTTTTATCAATTTAATATATCCTTGCTGAATAAAAGTATTAATTTCTTTCCAAAAAAAAAAAGAAAAAGAAAAAACATACTGACTTCAATAAAAAGGATTCCTGTTTTGATAAATAAATGCAGCATTAAAAAAAAAAAATCATGTTTATTGCTGCTAAGTGTTGTGAAAAAAAAACTCTTTCACGTCAAATATAGACTGATTTAAAATTGTGTACCATGGTATTTGGTGCAAACACTAAATATATTTTCTGCTGAGAGTCTTTTGGTATACAAGAGCAAGTGAGTGTTTGAAAATTAAGACCCTAAATTATGTGTGAGTTGAAAATTAATTAAGAAAACCCCAGAATCAAGTGATTCTGGACAGAAAAATTACTTAATGCGAATTCCAAATAGATTTTTGTGCTTTTCAAGGGCACCTCGAGAAGGGAAACCTGCTCAAAAGTGAGCAACTGAATGCAAAACGGCCCATTTCTCAAGGCTGTACATACAATGAATGAATGATGCATTTTAAATGATGCATTTATATCACTGCATGCATGCACAATGATCACTTCAGATTATGAAAAGTTAGGAAATGTATCTTTATTTTCTGGGAATTTAAAAAACTTAATTGCTTTTAAATACCCAAGGACTATTGCAGGAGACATTCCGTATTACTTACAGTACCAATTAAAGAGTAGACTACAGTGACCTGTACCATTCATAATATTACCCTCAAGTGGCCATTGAGATTCTTT